ATAAAGTCAGTTTCTCCAACGAAGTCATCTGAGGAAATGTCTCCATGATGGTGCTGGTGGGGCACCTGTAACTAATGCTTCAATCCTTTTTCTGTAATATTCTCTAAAAATGGGACTATATAGCCCAAGGCGTTACATTAGTTAAGGCTATTTTAATTGCAAATGAATAAAACCTACTTTAAAATAGCTTAAATGAGGGTGACAAGGATGGGTGAGAGAAAAGGCAGAACTTAGTGGCCACTTAATGGACAGTGGATCTAATCCTAGATCTCAAAAATCATTTGGACTCTACTCTTTATTGTTCATATCTGCCTTCTTTTGTCTTTGCTGGATGGTAAGATAGGCTCACTCCATGTTATGTCAGCAGCTCTAGCCTCAGCAAAATTTTCATAGGTAACTGGAAAGACTGGCCTGGCTCATATGCCTATCTTTATGACGGGAAAAAAAGAGTCATATAAATGGCAGCTTTATCAGGTAGAGGAAAGGCATTTCCTGAAAAGATGAACATACAAAAATAAGTGTTGGGGTGTTTTCTACAACATTCCACCCCTTGGCTACCTACCTTCTATACTTGTGCTTCTTTCAGCACATAAAATTTCAAAAATGTCCTAGCTTATGACAACGTAATTATTCTGTGGACAACTGAAATACTCTCCTGGGAAACACGACAAAGTCTCATCCAATTATCGCATCTTGCTTGAAAATCAAGAGTTCTGATGTGCATTTCTTTTGGTCAGGTCTGGATATAGCTCTTTGTGGTACAACATGATAAAGATAATTTTATTAGGTAGTGGTAAAAACTTAAGGCAAGTTAAGGGCAGTCACATGGGGCTCAATCTCACAATCCTGAGATCATGACCTGAGCTAAAACCCAGAGTCCGACGCTTAACCAACTGAACCACTCAGGTGCCCCACAGGCACTCTTAATTAGCTAGTGGATGAGGTCCTTGGTCAGCTAATATAGTGATCGTGAGTTCGCTCTCTGAAAGGTGCTCCCTTATCCCTTACACAGAAGAGGGCTTTGGAATTAAGCTATCACAGGCCCTTGTTTGCAGTGATTGGTATTTCTGTCAGTACAATTGTCTCGGCAATCTTAGCTGGCTGCTGGTCACTTTGCTTTTTGGTAACTGTGTGGTTTAGCAACAAGGAATGGAGATGGCATATGAATCTGTTTTCTGTCCTTAAGCAACAGGTTGTAAGGCTGGAATGCAACATCTATTCCACAACCAACTAAATTTAACTACATATTTCTTTACCTATCCTCCCGTCAATTAAAATATGTATTTCTATTTTGGCTTTTCCATACAAAATTTTAAAGATTTTATTTATTCATGAGAGACACACAGAGAGAGGCAGAGACATAGGCAGAGAGAGAAACAGACTCCTAACGGGGAGCCTGATGAAGGACTCAATCCCAGGACCCCAGGATCATGACCTAAGCCAAAGGCAAAACGCTCAACCACTAGGCCACCCAGGCATCCCCCCAATTTTAAATTGAAGAATGAGTTAGGAATAGTGCACTTAGGTTTTAACTGTTCCATTGCCCCCAACTTGCATCTCAGGGAATGGCTCCTCACATTACAACGAATTTACCAGCCTTTGTCAGACAGGATGAATATAGCAATAGATGCATGAGGTAATCAAGGATCAAGCTTTTTCCAGGGTTCCAATGATATCTTTTATGGGGTGTCTAATTCCTTATCTTTATTTGCACTAACTTTAGCTCAGGATAAAGAATCTTTTTCCAAATCTGAGATGCAAGTTTAATTCTCAGGCACGTGGATTATACAGTACACACAGAAAGAGTGTCTTAGTAATACATTCTTTCTTCTGCATTCAGAGAGCTAGCTTGGACTGAGGTGCATCCTTTTCTTGTAGGATCTCGCTAAAAGACACACTCCAAAATCCTGACGTTTTCCTATCAATTCTCTTAGAACTACCATCTTGATATAGACATTGCCTAAAACTTAAAATTCAATGCGTTAAATAGTGCCGAACCTCCTACCTTGGGCTAAGGAATCTTACTACTGTGCATCCCACATAAACTCACTGGTTTTTAGACTATTTTAGACTATGTCACTTGTTGACACAAGTACTATTGTATGGACTAATCAGGAATAAAAACACAAACCTTGCCATTTTGAGATTCTTACTCTCTTCCAGTTTGTCTGTTTTGAATTTCACATTAATTTTTTTATTCAAGTTCAGGAATTCAAAGGTTAAGGTATTATTATTGTTATTAGACTGCTCTCATTCTCCTCTAAGATTTAATCTGGTTGCTAGAAATAACTTCTTTACCCTCATGGCATTGGCGGAGGGAAATATGGTTTGCTAGGTGTCTAAATTTGTTGTTGAAAGGTCTGTTGTTCATACGACTTGTAATCTACTCTCTCAGTTAAAGTGTGATTCTTTTCCCTCCGCCCTTACTTCAAAATGTATGGATATTAGTATCTTCTCAATAGGATCTTCTATTCAATCCATTGGATTCATACCACAGCCTCTGCCACAAGTTTCCACCACCCTGTCCTGCAAGCGGTTAGGCTGTGAGCCAAGATTACATACCTCTTGAGAGATTCTGTATCTCCTTTTCAGTCCACGGTCATCTAGAAAGGCACAGGAGTGCGAGTCGTTATCAAGCCGCCTGGGCTACTCGCTTAAACAGAATATGCTGCATTATTTTTTATTTTTTTGTAGTTGCCCTTGTTGGGCGAACTTCCTGGTGGGGAGCTAGGAATAAGCCACAAGTTCTGTTTGAATTCTGAAGTCTTCCTGGTAGTATCTACCCCTTACCCTTGGTATATTAACTCTAGGGAGAGAGCCAGGAAATACATGTCTCCAATCATGGGCTCTTTTCTTCTCTTACAATTTCATTCTCAGGCAAGTCCACTTCACATGGCGATGATAGGCCATAGAGAGTTAAGTTTTTGCATAATTCCAGAGTGAGGTACCTCTTTCTCAATAGTGCTAGCCAAAATAGTGAGACTTCTTCTGATTGGCTTTGTTTTGTTAGCTTGCCCATGCCTGAACCGACCATTATGACTGTGTAGTTAGGGTACTTTGGCTGACCTGATTCATGGGCCCATTCCTGTGGCATCATGGGTAATGGACAGTTGCATCTTGGGAAAGAAGGCTAGGATTATATTAGGATAATTTCCAAATCTGTGGCTTAACACAAAAGAATGCATATAAACTCTAATCCAAGTGAGTCCTTCTACCCTGTGGCTTGGTCATCTTCAACACATGGCTTCTAATACAAATGTGTTCATCGGCCTCGAGTCAGTGGGGAATGTGGAGATCTTGGACTTTTCATGTGCTATTTTTCTAGACCACAGCTGCAACAGGAGCACATCACTTCTACTCATATCCCACCTGTTAGAACCTAATTGGCACCCCTCACCGGCAAGCCTAATTGCAAGGGAGGCAGGGAAATATAATCTGTGTGCCCAGAAAAAGAATCTAGTATCTGCAAGAATCCACTATTCTGATCACTAAATATCTATTTTACCTTTTCTTCCCACACAGAGAACACATCCAACTCCAACAGAGACAACCTAAAATTCTGTTGAATTACTAGGTCAGGCTTAAAGTCTAGGTTTATAAGTAGTGTGCAGTCCTCTTAGGTCCATGTGTAACCCATGAACTAAAAAGACAAGTTATGTCTAATATAACCCCATGCTTCCACAAATGCAATGTACAGTGGTAAGTCAGAGATAGGTAATTACACTAAAGTCTTATTGGGAAGAGAAAAATGTGAGATACTAGGCAATGTGAATACATAATGATGATGAAATACTGCATGGACATTTTGTGATCCACCTTCCTTGAGAGTAGAAGACTCGATGGGACCTCAGTCTAGTCTTTGGGAGAACTCTGTTGTCCTTTGTCTTCTGTATAGCTCCCGGTATCAACCTCTGATATGTTGTCCGATATTCTCCATGCCACATCCTATGTGGGTACTGGGATGCTATAAAGTGTGTATGTCCTATTTTCTTTTTATGAAAGCCTGGGGCCTTACTGTTTTAATACTTTAATAATTTGATTAGTAATAAAAGTCCTTCAAAAATTTAGTCTTGTGATGATTTGCTTCCAGTAACTACACCCAAACTTCGTTCTTTCTTTCTTTCTTTTTTAAGTTTAGTATTTAAGTAATTTCTACACCCAACTTGGGGCTTGAACTCATGACCCTGAGATCAAGAGTCACATGCCCTTCTGACTGAGCCAGCCAGGTGTCCCAACCCAAAGTTCTTTCTTACATAATTCTCAAACCTGATTTACTTCTTTGCTTCCTTATCCTCATGCCTGTTTCTCTAGAACTTCATCCCAGCCACCTTCAGGCCATGTAAAATAATGGCTTGGTTGGGAACAAGAAAGCGTTGATATCTTTGTTCCTGAACTATAGTCAAGACTTCTTCCATTTCATTTGTTACCACTCAAGGTCTAGAAAGTCAGAATTTCCAACCCTTCCAAGTATTCTTATGCATTTTCATTTCTGCAATTCTTTCCTTGAGCTCATCTTTTTAGAAAAACCTTGCTAAAAGCAAAATGCAAAATTCAAAATACACTATCACTTTTATTCTTTTGAACTATTTCTCCTGGAACTAGTCTCAATAGATAGGTGATATACTTTTTAATTATGTTGCCCCTATAAAACCTAGGTCTCCTTTCAGCCTCCTGTATCAGTTTCTACAACCTCTGCTACATCATCACTAGGACAATGCAACATATTTTAGATTACTGTCCTAGCAGTATTCCCCTTCTGGTACCAAGTTTCAGATTAGTTATGGTCATTCTAGCTTCTATAATACATAAATTCTCAAATCTCAATTTTCTCTCTTATAATAAGCCCCAAAGAGGTTTGTTTTTTTTTTTTTTTTTTTTTTTTGGAGTGGCAGGCTTCCAAGTAATGATTCAGCTACTCATGTGCCTCTCTTCTGGCACTGGCATCTCCAACATATAGTTTTCAAGGTTATGATACTAGTTATAAGCTGATGGAGAAAGAATAAGGGAAGACGGGAGGAACTTTATTAAGCCTGGAAATGAGTGCACCACTTCCACTCACATTTCACTGGCTAAAAGTCAACTACATGGCTCCAACTTGCAAAGGAAACTGGGAAATTCAGACTAGCTATACGTCCAGGAAGAAGAAATGTTTCCTGAATGGCTAGTCAAGTCTCTGACACAAGGCTCTGAAAAACAACAAAAACAAAAACACAGACACACACAAAAACAATAAAACAACCAACCAACCAAACGACAACAAAAGCTATATAAAAATAACAGAAAGTCACTGCAGGGGCTCTATTTTAACAGGCTTGACTATATCCTACTAGTCCCAATAAGATATTCATTTTGGGGGTTCCTGGGTGGCGCAGCGGTTTGGCGCCTGCCTTTGGCCCAGGGCACGATCCTGGAGACCTGGGATCGAATCCCACGTCGGGCTTCCGGTGCGTGGAGCCTGCTTCTCCCTCTGCCTGTGTCTCTGCCCCCCTCTTTCTCTCTCTCTCTGTGTGACTATCATAAAAAATAAATAAAAATTAAAAAAAAAGATATTCATTTTGCTACTATGGAAAAGATAAACATTTATTTTCTTCTAATAATGGAATTAAAGTGAGTGCTTTTCCTAGTGTGATAGGTACAGAAGTTAGAATGCAAAGGGTTAATGAGTTACATTCAGACAACAGAGATATTGAACACAGAATCCTCTTAAAGGATTGTGAAGGAAAGGAAATAGTGTGGAACCAGAAATGTGGGGGGCATCAATCTTCTTTTGACATTTGAAGTAAAGTCATACAATGAAATGTGGCCGGGACTTAAGACCGTAAAAAGTGTTCTGGGGGATCCCTGGGTGGCGCAGCAGTTTGGCGCCTGCCTTTGGCTCAGGGCGCGATCCTGGAGACCCGGGATCGAATCCCACGTCGGGCTCCCGGTGCATGGAGCCTGCTTCTCCCTCTGCCTATGTCTCTGCCTCTCTCTCTCTCTCTGTGACTATCATAAATAAATAAGTCAAAAAAAAATTCAAAAAAAAAGTGTTCTGGTGAGAAGAGAAAAGAAGGTGCTGATGGATATACAGAGTAGGAGAGAGGAACCCAGCCGAGGTTCTAGAACCTACAGCTGTAGTGGGTGGGACACACAATCCAGTGTGGTGTTCTGCACGGGAACTCAGCAACTGCCGTAGGAGAGGGACAGACAGGTGGATAGTCAGCTTAGCGTGTGTCTTTTACTACGGCACTTATTACATCAAAAGCCCCTAGAAGTAGAGACTTTGATTTAAAAAAAAAAAAGAAAGAAAGAAAGAAAGAAAACTATGCACACAGTAGGAATATGATGAGTTTCTGTTTGAATGAACCGATTCAGTCATTGCCAATTCTGCCATAGTACTCTGCAGAGTACTGGCAACTGCCCACATTTCATACGGAATGCCAATGCTAAAAAGAAAAAAAAAATGCTAAAAAGAAAAAAAAATGCAGGCACGCTCAATTGCACTCAGCAGTCTTAAAATGGCAACTATGTCAGCTGAGACATACTTTTTCATCCTGTGCCAGTACATCTGCCTTCGGTGTCTGCTTCGTTGTCCTTAGGCCACTGTCCTCTTATTGTACCAGAAAGGGAATAATTCTGAGTCCAATGAGCTACGCTATTACTTCAAAAGTCCTGGCAGTTCTCCACGTGCCTGCCAATGAACTCGAACCCCCTGCCCCCCCCCCCCCCCGTTCACAATACTCCCTCCCGGAGATGCACACACAGACGTGAGGGTTGACCATGCTCACTCCGCAGGTAAGGGCGGGAGTCGCCGACGGGTGGAAGAACCGATGGGGTCGTCCCGTGAAGCGTCTTGGCAGCCTGGCGGACTTCCTTCTCCCGTCTTCTTCCTTCTTCTTGGAAGCCTCAAAGTCGTCGTCAGCGCAGGCAACACCTAACCGAAGCCCTTCCTACCGCGCAAGTGGAACCTCGGGTCCGGGAAGTCTACGCCTCAGCGCTTCGACTGAAGCCAAGGGGGCTCCTTCCGTTCCACGACGCCATCTCCCAAAGAGCCAAAGTCCGTAGGACGATCCGGCGGCGGGGGGTGGGGGTGGGGGAGAAATAAAAATAAATAAATAAATGAAAAAATAAAGAAAATAAATAAATAAAAAATGAAGAAACTACGTACGACCGTCGAGAGGGAGGCCCCACGCGGACCTGGCGGGGCCGGCGCCCGCGTCCGGCTCACAGGACCGCCCCGCGCCCTCCAAATCTCACTTTCGTCTCTCGGCCGCCCGCGCGCCCGCGCTCTGGCGACGGCTGATGGCGTCACCCGCACTTCCGCCCGCGGCTGCGTTCTAGTCAGCAGCGAGGAAGGAAGAAGGGAGGTCTGAGGCGCTGGATGTGTGGGGGAAATAGCGAGCAGAGGGAAGCAGCCCGGGCGCTCGCAGGCTCTGCGGCAACGACCGCGGGCCTCGTCTGCCCCCGCCGTCCCCCCGTCGGCGGCCACCCTGGGCTCGCTTCCGCCGCCTCTCCGTAGTCTCCCGTGCCCCGGGTCTCCCGACACCCGGGTCTCTCCTCACGCCTCACCCCCCCCCCCCCCGCCGCCGCGCTTTGCTCCCTCACACGCCCTCCCTCTCCCTCCCTCCCTCCCTCCCTCCCGTCGTCAGGCTCCCCGCCCTTAGTATCGCGAGACGAGGTGAGAGCTGGCGGAGCGGCGGCGGCGGCGGCGGCGGCAGTAGAGGTGACCGAGGCGGTGGCGGCGGAGGCGGCACCGAGCGCTGTGTCGGCCCCGGTGCGGCCGGAGTCGCGGTAGAGCGTAGCCCCCACGCCCCTCCCCCGTCCGCGCCCTCCCTCTTTCCCTGGGGATGGAGAAGGCGACGGTTCCGGCGGCGGCGGCGGCGGCGGCGGCTGAGGGAGAAGGGAGCCCCCCGGCGGTGGCGGCCGTGGCGGGCCCCCCCGCGGCGGCGGCGGCGGCGGCGGCGGCGGCGGAGGTCGGCAGCGGCGTAGGCGGCGGCGGCGGCGGCGGCGGGGCTCGCTCGGCCTCCTCTCCTCGTGGGATGGTGCGAGTCTGCGACCTGCTCCTGAAGAAGAAGCCGCCGCCGCAGCAGCACCACAAGGCCAAGCGCAACCGGACTTGCCGACCCCCCAGCAGCAGCGACAGCAGCAGCGACAGCGACAACAGCGGCGGCGGAGGCGGAGGCGGCGGCGGCGGCGGCGGCGGAGGCGGCGGCGGCGGCACCAGCAGCAACAACAGCGAGGAAGAAGAGGACGACGACGACGAGGAAGAGGAGGTTTCTGAGGCAAGGGCCTGGTTCCGAAGGAAGGAGGGAGGACGGGGCCGTGAAGGGCGGGGGCCGAGGGTGGGAGGGGACCTGCGGTGGGACACGCTCCTGTGGGTCGGTCCGTCCTGCTGGCCCGGCTTCCCGCTGTCCCCGTGCCGTCCCCGGCCGCAATCGTGAGGGGTGGGGGGTGGGGGGTGGGGGTGGGGGGAGGGGGAGGGTGGCCGGCACGTGGGGGCGGGAGGACCTGCGGCTCACGCCCGGACGCTCGCGTGGTTGAGCCTGAGGGGGCTGGTTAGAGGATTCCGCGTTTGCTCCCCCGGCGGGGTCCGCCTGGGGTCAGCGGGGCCGCGTTACTGCGGGGGCGGGGCGGGGCGGGGGGGGATCAGATCATCCGGAGCTGGGTCTCTTGGGGAACGGCCGGCCAGGAGGCTGGTAGATTTCTCCCACTCGCGAGGTGGAAGGGAGCAGTTCTGAGGGGAGGGAAGGTCGCGATGGACTCAGAGCTAAGTGTGTATGTGAGGAACACGTGAGAAGCTGTACTTTTCCATACTGTTCCGCTGCAGGGTTTTTGTTTTTTTTTGTGTGTGTGTGTGTTGTTTTTTTTTTTTTTTCATAATTAATTGTGGCTGCTGAAGTAGCTTTTAGTTCTTTGATCCCTCCAGGCTTTTGGATGGATCAAGGGTGAACCGATTTTAGATCCGTATACATTCGCACGTAACTCAGTGGCTGAGACGTGTATTTGACTCCTACACGTGCACACCTGTGCATCTTCAGATGCTTCCTTAGTAAGGAAAAATCAGAGCCAGGCTCCGTGGCTTTCTGGACAACATGGGGGCAGGGAAACAGTGCTTTGAAGCCAGCCTCGGTTGCGGTGAGTTGGAATAGGAAGGCCTCTTGCTTGGTTTGTCCTAGTGATCTGGTTTCATAACTGTTTATAATTTTTCCTGGGTCCACAGACAGGCGGCGTTGCAGGACCTTATTCTTCAAAGGCCACATATAACCCAAAAGCTCAGTGAAACATACCATAGTGACGAAGAATAAGAGCCTTATCATCAGCTCTTTTGTGACTCTCTCGTCCACTCCCTGAAATGGAAGCTAGAAAATCTTGATTCGGAGAATGAAGTTGTAACTTAAGGCAGCAGAAGGAAAATAACCTGAAAGGCTGATTTTAAATCTAGTTGTAAGAGAACAACTGAATTATCTAGGAGCATCACTTGCCATTATTCTCTTCCACAGAGTTTATCTTGGTGCAAGGCTTGTTTTTTTTTTTTTTTTGTTTTGTTTTGTTTTTTGTTTTTTTTTGAAAATTGTACTATTGGATCTTTAGTTCCGTTCCAATAGAGAAATGCGAGTTTGAGACTTGTCTTCTATTGGAAGACCAGATTCTTTTACCTCAGATGGGATGAAGTTATACAGGTAGAGATGTAATAGTTCAAGTATGTGTACCAAAAAGATGGACGTTCCCTGCTATTACGTTATCCTGTTGAATTCTAAGAGTAGGTTTGTATTGATAGATTTTGTATTGGTTTTAGTTGGGCCTTTCAGTATAGTGTGTTACTTGGGCTGCACTTGTAACAATGAAGAGGAGGATGTGGCGGGATTCTTACTTCCAATAAAATCTGTTATGGTAGTTAGAATCATTTCACTTGTATGATTCTTTGTAGAGATGAGAAACATTTTAGAAATGATCTAGTTCAGCCCTTTTATTTTAAAAATGAGGAAAACAAGGTTTAGAGGAAACTGTGGTGGATAGCAGCAAAAGTAGAAATCAAAGTTTTCTAATGGTTCAGACCAATACATTTTTTATGACCACTTATTTCCCCTCCTGACATCTTTCAAGAAATTGCAATGAACTTCAAGGTAACACAATCATGCAGATGTGGGCAAAGTGCCAGTTTTTTTTTTTAAATTTTTTATTTATTTATGATAGTCACACACACAGAGAGAGAGAGGCAGAGACATAGGCAGAGGGAGAAGCAGGCTCCATGCACCGGGAGCCTGATGTGGGATTCGATACCGGGCCTCCAGGATCGTGCCCCGGGCCAAAGGCAGGCGCTAAACCGCTGCGCCACCCAGGGATCCCCAAAGTGCCAGTTTTTTATTAAGATTTTAAATTCTCCCACAAAATATCAAGCTTTGGTTTGGAACTTGGTATCAAGTTGAGTGGAGTACTGACTGGAATATGCTATAAACTTCACATACCTAGGTAGTTTTGTTCATTGAAATTTGGCCTAATAAGCAAAACTTTTAGTAAGTTTATAGGTGTTAATTTTGTGAGTCACATTTACTATCCTCAGAAATTGGGAATGATATATGTTGACTATCATCAAGTAGGTAGGGGAGTTTCTTTGTTTCTAGTATGCTTTATTTTGTTTTGTGCACAGTGGTGTAAACAATGGGTTTGTCAGTTATGAAGATGAGTCAGGAGAAATAAGTGTAAGTAAGAAGGTACAGCCATTAAAAATAAATCTATATAGGTACATGAGGGATGAGCAGACAGAAAGGAATACAGTATGCCTCTGCACCTGCCTCCATCCTTTACCAAAATAAAGAAGTAAATCTCACAGTCACTGTACATTATAAGCCAAATGGATGAGTTGTGCAATGTTTTTCATATTATCACTTTATTGGCATGTCAGCAGAAGTTTAGCTTTCTAGAGCTAGGAAATCTTGTGGCTAATACTCATGGTATTTAAGTCCATTTTCTAATTCATTCTGTTACTGGCTACACAATGAAAAATGTGGATAATATGATCCTTGAGATTATCCTTCCAATAGAAATCATAAAAAGATGAGAAAAGAACATGAAAGGCTATAGTTTTTGTATATAGTTGTGGTTTCAGGTATTTAAACTGAAAAATTGGAGGGTAATTTAATGAAAACATACATTTGCTATGAAGAAATGTTAGCTGGATATTCTGTATATCTACTGAAAGAGGAGACGTTGGAAGGAAAGGAGATTCAATTTAAAGAACAGCTTTATTTGAATGTTGAAGAACAGGAATCTAATTCTTATTAAATGTTAGAATAGCTTATTGAGAATTGGATTTTCTTTTCAATATCAGAATAGGATAATCATGTTTTAGATAATATGTGTAACTTCATCTATACCTGAAAACAAAAGTATAAGACCAGGAGCTCTCCTCTTCCCTCTCCTACTTCCCCCGCTCCCCTTTGACTTAAAATCTTAGATCAGAAATTGAAAAATGCAGAATTTCGTTGGCTTTCAGTGGGTGACTAACATGGAAAATACACAGAATTGTATTTCCTAACAAATAAGTTGTAATGCACAAAAGTTAAAATTGCGAGAGTTCATACTCCATTTCAGAAATAACATTGCATTTTGTTGAGTGCATTTTTAAATGTAATTGAATGTTATCAGTCTGTGTTTGCTAATGCAGAGTTCAAAGGGGAAAAAACTTGCTAGTAAAGGTAGCACTCATGTTCAAAAGTAACTTTTACTAAAGATGCATAAAATGTAAAGGTGTTAGTAGGAGTTATTCAGAATCCCCATTATTTTTGGTAGGTAATTTGAGGCTTTAAGAGACAAATCTAGTGGTGAAATTTTAGACAAGGGGAGCCAGTGAATAAATTAGTATTGACTTTTTTTTTTTTTAAGATTTATTTATTCATAAGAGACACACAGAGAGAGGCAGAGACATAGGCAGAGGGAGAAGCAGGCTCCTCATGGGGAGTCTGATGCGGGACGTGATCCCAGGACCCTGGGATCACATCCTGAGCTGAAAGCAAGACGCTCAACCGCTGAGCCACTCACTTTTTAAAGAATTTGCAAGGCCAGGGAGAATCTGTTTGTAGACCTGGAAAAGGTAGGGTTGAGTATGAGAGAAAAATTATTTCAGTCGATATTTTTCTCTCAAATTCACTTCAAAATCTTTTTGTTGTTGTTGTTTTTTAATGGAAAAATGCCACCCAAGTTCCTTTGTTACAGTGGTAGAATCCCAGATAAGTCCAGAGAAGCTTACCTTTTCCCCATTTTCATCTCTTAATTGATAAAGCGGTATTTTAAGATCTTTGAAGAAATAGTTCTGTCATAATTATCCTGTCTTCTAGACTGCTTAAGCACAATACTTGATAAAAAACATTTTCAGTGAGTAAATAGTACTTAGGGAGGATCCAGAAATCATCTAGGAAACCAAGAGAAGGAATTGAGTTTCCTTTTCCCTTCTTGGATCCAGGACTGCCAAATAGCTAAAGTTTGGACTTATTTCAGTATCTTTTAGTTACTAATTCTTAGTGACAGTCCTCTTCCATAGGTATTGCAGGGAAAGCCAGTTAAGCCAATATACGTTGAT